CTACCTACCTACCTGCCTGCCTGCCTGCCTGCCTGCCTACCTACCTACCTTCCTGCCTGCCTACCTACCTACCTACCTACCTACCTACCTACCTACCTACCTACCTACCTACCTACCTACCTACCTACTTTCCTGACCTTATACCTTACCTTGCATTACCTAACCTACCTGCCGACTCACGTACGTACGTACGTACGTACGTACGTACGTACGCACGTACGTACATACATACATACATGCTTGCATACATACATACATACATACATACATACAGACATACATACATACATACATACATACATACACAGAGAGAGAGATAGAGCGACAGAGAGATATCTCCACATAAAACACATACAGATAGATAGACAGACAGAGCTATATACAATATATGTATGTATGTATGTATGTATGTATGTATGTATGTATGTATGTATGTATGTATGTATGTATGTATGTATATATGTACGTATTTATGTATGTATATACGTATGTATGTATGTATGTATGTATGTATGTATGTATGTATGTATGTATATATGTATGTATGTATGACCCTTCGTGTCATAGGTGCCCCAGGCCCGAAAGCCCCGCAGCGTGAAGGTAGTCTTTGCTTGTCTACAACAAAGATGGTCCATGCCGTTAAGAAATCAAATTCGCAGGGAAAGGGACGCGGGGGTCCAGGCCCGCGGAAGTAGCTCCCCGGATGCCAGAAACTATCTATCCACCTACCTGCCTGCCTACCTACCTACCTACCTACCTACCTGGTATACATATGTACATACAATTAGAGATATTTATTTGTTCATATTTATGTATATGTGCGATTGTATTCATCTGTGTTCTCATTTTTGTTTATGTAGATACATACATACATACATACACACATGCATACATACATCACTACCACAGTGCAGAAGGTCCCCGAATCCCAGGCCCCCGGCCTATCCTGCCGCCAAAGCTACGAGATCGGCGTGGGGGCCTCGGAACAGGCGGTGATGAACTAGCGTTACTCTGCCGGCGCCATTTAGGATGTCGGTTCAGGGCTCCGTGCCTTTGGAGGTGACGGGCGTTATTCTCCATGCACGACCAGAGCAATCAGTTCAGTGACTAGTGCTTTTGTTCTCATGGCTACCCGATCACGCACGCGAATTCGACAGCAGCTGCCTCCTCCTCCCGGCAGATGGAGAGCCCTGATGGAGTCTCTAAATTTCTCGTAGTACAAGATTCCTTGTGGGACGAGTTGTGATGATCACGGTATGTGAAGTAGGTTTCGTGTGCCAATGGTTGGCGTGACAGAGCAACTGATGTGAGGGCTGTACACATCTAATTCTGCTGAATTCACTTTGTTCTGGCTTGAAAAGCTTTGCAGAGAACGGGCTGCGCTTTTTGACATCGCCCCAAGTAGCTCAGTGGCTCTAGTGTGACTTGGCAAGTTCCTGGACTTGTTGAGGACACTGCTAACCTCAATGCCTTTGACCTAAGCCCCAAACTTGTTCCGCTATATAGAGTTCTGAGAACTTATTGCATTGTGCCAAAACCCGTTTCGAAATTCTAGCTATCAGTTTTGGTTTTATCTACAACTCTAGCCCTAAGCCCCTACACCCCCTAAAGCCTAAACCCGCCCTCCAGACCACCACCCAGCCTGGGCCCAGGCCGCAACAATCTGCAAACCCGGAGAGGCACCTCTTCCTTGCGCCTTGCGAGCCTTAGCAGAGGACCGGGTTGGCCTTTGAACTGCAGGTTTCGGGGTTTTACCGGAGGCTTATTGGCTGTAAACTCAACTNNTCTTATAAGGTAGTCGATTCTGAAAGTTTCAACTTTTATTTCCATGGGTTTTGGGCCAGTGAGGAGGGGATAGAAGTTTAGGATTTAGAGCAAGTTGCCTGGTGCTTACAAGGTATGGGCTCGGGGCTGTGGGTTCAAAATCTCCTTGGACCCTAAACCCTAAACCCTAAACCCTAAACCCTGAACCCTGAACCCTAAACCCTAAACCCCTAAACCCTAAACCCTAAACCCTGAACCGTGATATCCTGCAGGGCTCATTCAGCCTTGTGAATGTTGCTATGCTGCCATAGCTTTAGACCAGTGCCACCAGGTTTGGGGTTAGGGTTTAGGGTTTAGGGTATAGGGTTTAGGGTTTAGGGTTTAGGGTTTAGGGTCTATTTTTTTCAGCCAGTCAACCCTAGACCCATCGAAAACCCTGACACGCTAAACTCTCAAGCTTCTTCTCATGAAGTGAAGCATTATGAAATTCTTGTATTTCACTGTCGAGCTCTAGCTTCATCTTGACAGACTTTGTCTGAAAACCTTCTTGTACGTCTGACATGCTGCATTTGCAGGCAGCTCTATTTTGCGATGCGGGTTGATCAGTTGTAGACGCATTAGCTGGTTAGGCAAGTAAGAGCAGCCTCGACATGTCTATTCCTGAACTTTCCCCATGCAATGGCAGCAGCCCGAGAAAAGCGCTTGGCTATGCCTTTGAGCTCTTTTGAGGGCATCCCAATGTAGAAGCAAAACCTTGATCTATCTAAGGAGCCCGACACCCCTGTGAATGGATATAGGGGCCTTCATAATAACCTGTACTAGTTTTGGGGTTCCTTATTACACTTTGGCTTTCCAAAGTCGGTTTCACGACATGTCAACCACAAGCTTATATAGGGGCGTTAATAATTAGAATAGGGTTTTTGGGGCATTTATACTATAGTTATATGAAGGACCCCCGCAAAATAGTAGAGGTAATTCTCTAGGCCCCTACATTATCAACATCATCCTGCAGCCTTCCTCCGCCGCCCTTAGCTCCGTGAATCCCTGGAACTTGGAAGGCACTTTCACTGAAGAGGCTGACGACGGCGGCAGCCAGCGTAGAACTTATGTAAAGCACAGACACTGCTCCCGAAACCTTGCGGGCCTGTAGCTTTGTCCCAGATTTGAAATATCCTGTTCAACCCTAAACCGACTCTGTCGAGTTGAACGCGTCGCATGATCCTGTCCTAAAATCGGCCAGGAGATGCAGTCCGAAGATGCCCATGAGTTCCCGGCGGCAGTGAAGGCGAAGCCGTCAACTCTGTAACTTCAGCCCCTTTTTAGACGGAGTGAGCGTCCCGGAGGCTCTTTCAGGGAAAGAGAGAGACAGAGAGAGAGACAGAGAGAGTGTGTGTGTGTGTGTCTGCACGTGGAAGTTCGCCTGGTCCGCGTAGCTTTCACACCCCCACCCAAGTGCCCCACGAACATAGGGGGGCCTGAGTGGCCGAAGCCTTACCAGCTCGCTTGACCCGGCGGAAGAAGTGTGAGTGTGTGTGCGCGTGTCTGTATGTGTGTGTGGGTGGGTGCATGCATATGTACATACATACATACATACATACATACATACATACATACATACATGTGCGTGACTGCAGTCGAAGTGTGTGCATGCGTGCGTCCATTGCTCGTCAGGTCTTTTCTGAAATTGGCTGCCTGTTTGCGCATGGGAAGGTGTGAATACTTTTGGACCCGTGCAGACAAGCACGCGCACACGTACGCATACACCATCAGGATCCATCTACATGCATGCACTGACTGGCCACCCCCGAGCGCAGAAATGTTCATGCATTAAACCCGGTCCTAAACCTGAAGGTCCAGGAGCAGCAGGAGAGAGCAATGGCAAAAGGCTTATCACGGCATTAAAGGAAGACTCTAGTATGGGGCTTTGACTAGCTAGTCATAGCATCTCCTTCTCTTAAACTCTAATTTGCAATCCTGGGGGCCTAAACCCGAGGCGAACCCGTTCAGCGGTTTCCTTTTCCTTATCGTTCCCCAATACCCAACCTTTAAACTTGTTGGTTTCTTAGATTTATTGGGGAAGTAAGCCCTAAGGCTCCATGTGCCCATATAGTGTATACCTAGACCCTAACGTACCTAAATAGGAACCCCTTTAAGGCCTAAGTATATACTATATGGGTACATGGAGCCTTTGGGAAGTTAAGCCGAAACCCTAAACCCTAAACCCTAAACCCTAAACCCCTAAACCCTAAACCCTAAACCTTTGCAGGAGCAGAAAGCTTTCATGCCAGGGCCTCAGTCTCTTTGTTCTATGGCCCTTTAGGGCAAGAAGTGCAGGCTCCCAGGGCTTCTAGGGTTTAGAGTTTAGGGTTTAGGGTTTAGGGTTATCTTGAGGTTTCTTCAGGGCTTCTAGGGGCTTGATGGAGATCTTGAGGTTTGAGGCTAGGTCCCGCTTCTTCTCTGACGAGTTTGGGCTTCAGAGTCTGTTTGGAATTAGTTCGAGATTCGACATCCCAAAACGCCATGCAAGCTTTCGGGTTTGAGCCTCCGGTTTATCGAAGGCAGTTGACGAAGGCCTCATCTTCAAGTGGTAGCTTCGTGCTGTTCAGCAAGCGTTGAGCTGGCTGGTATGGCTCTCTCTGCTGTGGGCACTGATCACCCTGCGAGTCATGATGCTCCTGTTCAAGGAACCCCAGAAAATCAAGAGCTTGACCGTGTAGAGCAGCACTCTCACGAGGAGAGTTGCCACGGCCCAATTTAAGAAGTATTCCCCAGGTGTTCGCAGGTCTGAGTCGCAAGCATCAGAGGAGTCCGATGCCATCTGCTGAGCATGGAGAACATCTGCAACTTGCATTCAGAACATGCGACGGCCGCTATTTGTTGCGTAGTTGGTTGCACTGTCCAGGCTAATGGACACACTCCAGTGCTTCTGCTTTAGTCCATTTAAGTTGGAGACCGTGCGGAAGGCATCAACAAACGGGCAACTGATCAGCGATCGCAGTGCCAGCTTCCTCTGGGTTTTGTATTGCATGACCAGAGGCTGTCCTTAGATGATGGCTCCGTGCACCAGCAGCTCGTCGATTTCGTCTGCGTCGCTTGCTTGCAGGTAGACTGAAAAGCGAAGTTCAGCACCAGCCTCAAACGTAGCAGAGCATTTCTGGAAGGAGCCGCAAGGCCAATGGTCAGATGCCGAGGTGTGCGATGGTGTCTAAACCTTAAACCCCAAACCTCGATACATACACAATTTAGAAGCTTCGGCTTGGATGCTTAGATTGGTCGCCACCATAGCCATAGACACCAGCTCCACGTTTCCATCGCCACCACCGCCAGAACCACCGTAGCAGCGACTTTCTGCTTCCACGAGGCATTAGGATGTCAACTGCGGGATCCTAATATACAGCTTCGCACATGGCTCATTGTTTCGGTTCAGATATATTCGAAAAAAAAGTAAATATTCTAGTTTTGGAACGGGGCCTTCCCGGTAGAATTGCAAACAGGTGCCCGGCGGCAGTGCTGTTTAGTAGTAGCATTTGATGCAGGTTTGGCTGCCCGATGGTTTTCCATGGAAGAGTGTTTATACTTCTTCGTGGACCTTTGACAAGCCTGCAGCAGTGCCGAGCTGAGCTCAGGGCTGTCGCAACATGTTGCAACCTTTTGCTCCTGCATGCTTACGATGAAGACGGCTACCGTCAGCACTGCTACTTGTCTTAGTGTCGGTCTTAGTGCTGTTCATGTTGGAATAAAGAGACGCTAGCGCTACTGAGCATGGACACCTTGCTTCATCGATGCGCACCTGCTGCCTAGGTGCAGCTGAAGCTCGCTGCGCACCCCGGTTCGAGAGATTCCTCTAAACCCCATACCTGGACCCTGAAAGTATGTAGAATAATAGCCCTTTATAGGTATTGGGCCATTATTTCACCTACTTTTGAGGGTTTAGGTAAACCTCTTTCAACCCGTAAACCCCTCGACAGACCACGAACCACATGCCTCGCCTGGAGTGTCGGAGTGTGAGTGCGGAAACCCCGAAGGCCCTCAACCTCCCAGCTCCAGACCTGGAGCCCTCAGATTTCCGCTAAAGCCGCTCATGTAAGCCTTCCTCTCAAGTCCAATACCCTAGGCTGCAGGCTCAAACATGCTCAAGACCGTGCAATCTAGCTGAATCTCGGAGTTTTGGAGTGCTGCGTGTCAACATATGGGTAGTTCTCTAAATTAGGGCCCCCGTTTCGGTCCCAAAATAGTACGGCACTCTTAGAAAAAGGAACCTAAAAGGGACCCCTAATTCATATAGTCCTGTTACGATGTAGAGATCTGTCTGCATGCGGATGAGACTTTCGGATCTCTTCAGAGGTCTCGGGAGTTTCTAAACTCGAGACCCCGATTCTCTTGTGTGTCCCATAGAAACCCGACATGCTGGAGTGATAGGATATGTTCATCTGAGCAATCCCGCAACAGGGCCTGTGCTTCAGCACGTTTGGGAAGCATAGACAAGCCAGACAAGATTCAAATCACCTTCCAAGGGTTTTACGCTCAGGGCTGGGCTATGGTGCAGTGGTGACTTCCAGTCAATGATGGAGGTCAACTCAGCTGTTTCGATCAACTTAAAAGATCTCTTTTCGGGGTCCTTTGTTGTGCGTAAGTGTGACCTAAACGAGGACCCTCATTTGAGAAAGTATCCGTGTGTGCTTGCTTGAAAAGGCGCTCCATCACATGGGCAGTGGGCGGTCGAATGAAGGACGCTTTTTTGGACCCTGCATCCTAAACCCTGAACTCCGAGACATGCACAATCCGAGTGGCCCATTGGAACAAGGACCCGCGGGACCCACCGAAACAGGAACCTGACCCCTCCATCACTATTTTTTCCTGTGGTCCTCGCAAGCTCATACCCCCAAACCCTAAACCCTGAGACAAAGTTGAGGCACTCATGAAAGCAACTGTAACTTGGGGGGTCCCGGTTTGTCCCTCGAAACTGGGCAAAGAGCGGACTGAGTCCTTAAGTGATGCGTTACAGGTGTACAATGATGTACATATGTATAGAGCCTCTCGGGCTTACAGCCTTTGGGGTTTGCTAGGGTTTGTATGGTTTCTGCTTCCAGGGCGGCTCTGTGGATTGATAGTGCATTGATTACTGACTACTAATGATAAGGCATTGAGGCTTTAAAGGCTTCCGGGCTCAGGTAGAATTCAGCGTGCATTAGAACTCAACCGCGTTTGAGTGCTTTGTGGCTGCGGCGGTTGGGAATTTTTCGGCCCTTTTCGTGGTCTCCTTCAACCCTCATGAAAGACAAAGACCCCGCCTACCATGCCAGGTGGCTTTCACCGCGATTAAAAGCTGCGGCCGCCACAATGAAGACTAGAAGCGGCTTTGCTGTCTTGCTGTCGCCATTTCTTTTCAACGACGGCGTTGCAAGTCAAAACCTAGAAGTACCAGCAGGCAGGGCGATTTTATGGTTGTTGGTTGTGAGCCGCTGTGTTCTTACGGTTTCGGTTGGAGGGAACACCCTTTTGCCCATGTCCACTATGAAGTGGCTCACTGTGCGGGCTGTCGAAAAAATCTTCCGGGCGAGCTTTCTACAGTGTTACACGGCGAGTTGGAAAGCCGGTGCTGCGCAACACGAAATCGATTGGCAGGCCTCCTTGCCAAGTTTGTCGATTGTTCTTTGCATTATTGCCTTCTGCTCCCATCTAGATTGGGAGTCGCTTTCTTGCCATTTTTGTCATGCAATCCTTCCTCTGAACACGGACATACAAGGACCCGCATGATTGTTCTTGAACCTTGGTTGAATGTGTCCAGCCCGCACTCACTCCTTGATGCATCTGACACCCCTGCCCCAATCTATGAATGTTTCGGACACCAGTTCCAGTTAGGTTATAATGATAGTGTGCCGAACAAGCGCTGTTCCGGAGGATGGCGGGAGCCATGCACTCGCTCTGTGAAGACTAGCACACCGCACTGCGGACCACCACCACCACCACCACCACCACGACTACCACCACGACTACCACTACTA